CAAGCGACGAAAACCCAACCCCGATGGCAAACACCGGGGGGGGGGGGGAGTGTACTCATAGTCGTGCATGCCGTAGTCGTTAGGTCATTAACCTCGCATCCCTACAAAGCCGGGACGGAGCACGCCGGGTTCTCACCGGACCAGGCTCTCACATCACCAAGTGCGACGCGCTGTGTGGCATTCGGCGAGTCGCATGAATGGTGCGCTGAAGCCTGCTTGACAGCTGCGTATGACTTAATTCATTTTCTGGTGCTTTCACTCCCAGAGATAGTTGTTAGCACTGTGTAACTGCCTCGAGGGTGCTTGTCCAATTCACACAACGTGGTGCGATTATCCCCTTTGCGCGGAGTGAGGGTTCCCGACCCCGCGCAACATGATCTACTCGACCACGATTATGGTTACCGCAAAAGCAAAAAGGAAAAAAAAATAAGCGGTAGCCTGGTTGCCGAGCTCACAAAGTGATTGACCTGTTTTACACCATCGCTGCCAANTCCCTCGCCGTGACGAGGACGTCGGTCAGGAGGGTGGCCCACAGCCCGGCCTCCGACAGAGAACTTTCCTGCGAGAACCTTTCGGCGATGTAGTCGCACAGGAACCTGGGAGGAGGGAGGACAAAAACAAGAAGCAGAGGGTGTTGTCCGCAAGGGGGTGCACTCATGGAGACGCATGCCGTAGTCGTTAGTCGTTAGACCATTGACCTCGCATCCCTACAAAGCCGGGACGGAGCACGCCGGGTTCTCACCGGACCAGGCTCTCAGATCACCAAGCGCGAAGCGCCATATTCGGCAAGTCGCATGAAGGGTGAGCTGCATCCTGCTCAGAGTGTTCGGCATCTTGTGCTTACTTCCTTGGGTACGGATGACAGCTGCGTATGAGTTGATTTATTTCCTGGTGCTTTCACTTCCTGAGACAGCTATAAGCACTGCGAAACCGCGTCGAGGGTGCTTCACCATTTTAACACAACGTGGTGCGATTACCCCCCTTTGCGCGGAGTGAGGGTTCTCGACCTCGCACAACATGATCTACTCGACCACCATTCATGGTTACCGCCAAAAAAAAAACGAGGTACAAAAACAAAAACCGGTAACCTGGTTGCCGACTTCACGAAGTGAATTGGCTTGTTCTACAACGTCGTTGCCAAGCGAAGAACGCCCAACCCCGATGAAAAATATCGGGAGGGACACCGGGGGGGGGCGGCTTGTTTTACAACGTCGTTGCGACGCGACGAAAACCCAACCCCGATG